CCTTGCCAATAATAAGCATTAAATATCTACACTCTTCTCCAAGAGCACATAAAGTCTCCTCATATATTCTAACGTTAATAACTTTAGTTTTTGCTTTATTAACCACAAAACAAAGACATTTTCTGACATACACAAAGACAGAAGGGCAGACTGTCAACTTCTTAGTCTAATGGAGGAATTTCAAAAACCTTTCTTGAAAATTTATACATCAAGCAGACAAAAGAAATCACGAGAAGGATATAGAAGATTTGAATAAACTCATCAAATCTGACATAGGCATTAATGAAAAGTAAATAACACATATTATTTTCAAGTATATGTGGGACGTTTATAAAAATTGACCATGTGGTCTGCAAATATGGAGCTGGTAAGCCTCATCATCTTGTTACTGCGTTTACAAAAAACCACACTTGTTCCACTAAATACACCCCCCAGACAACTGCTAACATAAACAGATGTTTCGTTTGTTAAGTACATTTCAGCTCTTAAGTACATACATGACAGTAACTGTTGTGATTTGAGTATTGATTTATGTTAATTATATAGTTATTGACATTTAGATTATAATTTGTGTAAATTGTGACTGTCATCATTTGATCTGTACATTTTGTGATTTTTGTAGCTATTACATTTGAACTCCTAAGTGATCTCTGGTTAAATAGTGTGTGCATGGAAGTAAAGTCTTAGAGTTCTATGTTTAGTAAACTTACAGGACCCTCAATCCTACATTAGCATGCAATGCTTTAAAAATAATCTTTTATTTGATATGAAGAAAAATAAATATTATTTCTAATTCTCCTCTTCCTTCTATGAAGGGTGGATCCAGATAACTAGAGGGTTTTTGACCTGCTAAGCACAAAGTGATAGCCTTGGTAGAATGACCTTGCACTTACTGAAGGTTAAATTACTCTGAATAAGAAATGTCCTGAGCCCAGGGGAGATACCCAGGAGCTAAAGGTGGTTACCGAGCTGGAGAGCTTAAAAGGCTCCTCATGGAAAAGATCAAAGGAAAATAAAAATTGCCAAAGTCCAAGGCAAAACGAGAACATCTCATGTGCCAAAATCAAAGTGTGGCAAAGCTGAACTAAACCAGAATAACCCACTCCCCTGCATTTTTGGACTATGTAAAAGCCAGGAGGGCAGGAGGCTGAGGTTTTGATGACCCTGTAGAGGTGGGAGATAAGATTGTAAGCCTGTATGAAGCATGGAACTGGACCTGAGTATCTTACATAAAGTCTTGTTGTTGTTGTTAACATTGATGTCAAGTAGTAGAATATAAAGTCCTTATATAAGGGTTGTCTTTGAATGAGGATTAAAAATATTGCCACCCACTGAATTCAAAAGGAGCAAAAAATCTAGCTGCCTCCCTGGGCCACAGGTGGGGAAAAACAATGATCCTTGAGAAACCTGAGCCCCTGCTACACCCAAACTCACATTATATGACAAAGAGGCACCAAGCTTATAAACTGACATAAAACTGTTCTAGAATTGATGAAACTGCCTGTGAAAGTGTTTCCAAAACTTAGGACTTCCACAAAGGAAAAAAAAAAAATCTTTTGCTGAAGATGAAACTACAATCAAAAACTATAAAATGCATGGGAAAATGGACCACTATGAGAGAGAATCAGCAAAAACAGTAATAGTAAGATGTTGCACTCCAAGAACAAGACATAATAGAACCAAATGGAAGACAAGAACAGGAAAATTTGAAAAAGAATGAAATAAAAATATTAGAAATAAAAAATAATCAACAGATGGATTAAACAATAAACTAGATACAGCTGAAGAGAGAACTAGTGAATTAGAAGAAAAGCAGATTGGAGCATATTATCCAGGATGAAGAAGAGAGCTAAACAGAAAATACTCAAGAAAAATGAATAGATGGGTATGATAAAATGTCAAACTTCCCGTATAGCTAAAAGGAACCCAAGTAAATAGAATAGGAGAAAGGCAATATTCAAATAGGTAATAACACCTTTCCAGGGTTTGAGTACTCACACTGAATATGCAAAATAAGTCCTGAGCAGGACAAGAGTAATACTGCACAGCCCCTCAAAGACAAAGAGGCTTTTTCCTACCTAAAGCTACCAGAGATAAGATATATTTTCTAAAGGATTGCCTAATACACTAAAAGAGACTTCTCAACAAAGGCCCAAATAAAATGAAATAATTATTCAAACTATTGAAAACGTGCAACCAAGAATTCTTCATCAACTAACAAAATCTGATTCACAAGTAAGTACAAAATAAAGACATTTTCTAACACACACAAAGACAGAAGGGTGGACTGTCAACTTCTCAGTCTAATGGAGGAATTTTAAATACCTTGAAAAATTGATACATGAAGTAGACAAAAGAAATTATCAGTAAGAATATAGAAGATTTGAATAAATGCATCAAGCCTGACATAGGCATTAATGAAAAATAATATTCTTTTCAAGTTCATGTGGGACATTTACAAAAATTGACATGTACTAGACCACAAAGAATACTGCCACAAATTTCAAAGAATCAGTATCATACCACTCACATTTTTTACTTATAATGAACTGTAAAATCAATAGTAAAAATGCACACACATCACCAAAATGGTTGGGAACTCTAAAAATAAGCAAAAATTTTTTAAAATTAACATTCATATAAATAATTTATAAGTTAAAAATCATAATGGAAATTATAGAATATTAAGTAATATACAACAAAAGTACTATCAATTAAAATTTGTGGGATGCAATTACAACATTACTTACAGGGAAACTAGCCTCTAAGTGCATTTTTGGGAAATGACAAGAATGAAAAGTAATGAGCTAGTTGTTCAGTTCAAGTAGAAAAAAATAAATGCAAGAAATAATAGAAATGAATGCTAGTGAAAACAAACTGGGCACATGTTCTCAGGATCTCCTGAGGGCTATGTCATGGAAAAAAATAAACTATGAGCAAAAGCTAGTTGTTTCACAAAATAAAAATAGATCTCTAGTGAGGCCGATCAAGAAGAAAGAAGCACAATTGAGATGAATAACAAAAAGAGAGATGTGGAAAACCTGATGCCAGTAAATTTGAAGACTTAGACAAAATTGGATAATTTCAATGAAAAATATCAATACTGTGGGGAAAATGGGGTTGGATGGCAGTGATCTAGTGGCAGACACTGCTTAGGGACACCTGCTTTTTCCCCAGTGAAAATGTGACCATTCTGGTGCTGCATTTGGCCTAAGAAGCAGAAGGTCCAGAAAGCTGTATAATTTACAGTAAGGGCATGGATTGTTTATGTTACTCCTTTGAAGTAATGATAAAGGTGATAAAAAGTGACTACGTTGTACAGAGAGTGTAACCTACAGATATGAACTGTGTTCAAGGTTCTGGAGGCCTGGAAGCTGGGCTGAAATGAGCTGAATCTGCTCCTGCTGTGTGGCCGCCTGGCTTCCACCAGGTTCCTTATTCTTTAGCCAAGTAAGAGGATGCAGTAAGAGATGGGAAGGGCAGGCAGGGAGGGTGGCTCAGGTGTCTAAGTGTGGTCTCTTCTTGCCATCATAAATGTTGCAGCTAGCAAAAGTGAATCAAGAATAGAAAACCTGAATACAATACAGTGCTCATTAAAGAAACTGAATCTATAATCAAAGATCTCCCCTCAAAAAAGGCCCGAGGCCTAGGGGGTTTTTCAGATGAGTTTTATCAAACATTATATATTATATACAAGCTGTTTGAAAGAACAGGACAAAAGAGAAAACTATCCTACTCATTTTATAAAGTTAGTAAAGCCTTGATACTGACATTTAATATGGTCCATATTTTTAAAATATAGGCCCATCTCAAGTATATAAAATCAAAAATTCTAAATAAAATGGTAGTAATCAAATGCCTAAAAGCAAGGACTTTAAAAAGCACATCATGTTTCTGGAATCAGCTTCAAAATCATCTAGGATGGGATTATTTGGGATGTGGGATGTGGTTGGGGGCATACGTACAACAAGACTAATCGTGGGCTGAAAATAGCTGAAGCCAGCTGGGCACGGTGGCTCATGCCTGTAATCCCAAAAATTTGGGAGGCCGAGGCAGGTGGATCACCTGAGGTCAGGAGTTCGAGACCAGCCTGACCAACATGGAGAAACCCCGTCTCTACTAAAACTACAAAATTAATTAGCCAGGCATGGTGGCGCATGCCTGTAATCCCAGCTACTCAGGAGTCTGAGGCAGGAGAATTGCTTGAACTCAGGAGGCAGAGGTTGCAGTGAGCCGAGATCATGCCACTGCACTCCAGCCTGGGCAACAAGAGCGAAACTCCGTCTCAAAAGAAAATTGCTGAAGCTGGGTATTGGTAATATAGAGGTTTGCTTTGTACTGTTTTGTCTGCTTTTCAGTGTGTTTAAAATTTTCAACAATAGAAAGGTTTTTCCGTTTTGTTTTCCAATGCATTATGGCCAGTAATCAGGATTTGCACCAGGAAGGAGGAGAGAATTTACTTGTCTCAGGAAGATTTCTTTGTGAAACACTGTAGCATGTGCTACATAAATTTCCTCTGTCTTCTCTTTGGCAAAAATATAAATTTCTTGGAATAATTTTATCTGAAGGGAATTTTGTTCTTTGGAGGGTTTGAAGAACAGGACCAGGGGACAGCTGACATAAGGGTTTATGTGTGTATCTCTCTGCATTTGAGATCAGAGGTACCTGAAGAATACATGCAGTACAATAAAAGATTTGTAAACATATCAGAACCAGGGAGGACATATGTAAAATGGGGAGATTAAGATGGGGAGATACATACTGGTACTTTAGGGCAATTTTTATTATTATGAAAAGCGCCACTGACACCAGTCAAAAGAAACTGTTTCTGCCCAGGGGCTGGCCCCTCAGCCTTGTGCACGGCCCGCTTCTCACACCACTGAGCTTTCGCTGGACCTTAACGTTTGTGAACATGATATAACTATGTTTCTCTACCAACAAACAATACCTGGAGAAGTCACGTTGTGTCTGGGTTTTTGGTTTTGTTTTGTTTTTTTCAGGACCGGATTCCATGGCTCTGTAACTTGCATGACATTTTACTAAGGTAAGAGACCACTGGGCCTTGGCATAAGCCACAGCCAGCAAGTAAAGAAAACCCTCAGAAAAGACAGGAAAAGAAAAATGCACTCCTGAAATCGCAGCTGACTGATGGTAAAGGATTCTAAAAACGGACTACACTTCTATCAAGTAACCACAACGATTTCAGCCAGTCACAGACAGCACGGAGCTTCATCCGGCTCTGGAGACACACCTTCTAGACAGCTCCACAGTTACTAGCTAGCAGCCTTGATCAGCCACTTGGTTTCCATAAGTCTGTTTCTTCATTAGTAAAATGGGAATTAATATAGTTCCTACCCACAGATTATTGTAAGAAGTAAGTGAGTTGGTGAGTGGGCAGTAGAACAGTACCTAATACGTAGTAAGTGCTCAAAAAATGTCCACTGGTGCCACTCCTGTTATTGCCTATCTGAGTCTTCAATTTTTCCTCCCTTTACTTCAAGCTTTGACTACCAGGAAGGCCTGAGGTCATTTGTGAGTGAACAGGTAATTAGCCACCAGGATTAGAGTCCATATTGCCCAGCTCTGCAGCATGGCCCTGAGCAAACAGGGTCCCCCCCACACTACCCATCTGTGGGTCTGACCCCAGTGGTATCCTGGTCGGGACATGGAGAAGGATAAGGAAAAGGCAGGGAGTGGGTTACGGATCTTCCTTTCTAAGGTGAAGTCATATTTTATCCATCTAAAACTGTCTGGGCCATACGAAGTTAGAATATACTTAAATGAACAAAAATTCAGTTTGCTTTTTTCACACCCGTTGACATGGCTGGCAGCCCTGTCTTTGCATGGGCTGAGTTTTGATTTAGGGGTTTACGGTTCAGGGTTACAAGGTTTGAAAACTTTTGCCTACCTGGGTCTCTAACATAATGCACTCATGAGAGTCTGTTTTTACAGTACTGTCATTTTATAGTCATAAAAAGGAGTATGGCTTCATTTTTATGTTTGCTAACCATGTATTGGCTGCAAAAAAAAAAAAAACGCAAGGGAGGCCCCTTCCTTCAGAACTTTCATTCTGAAGAGAACTTTATACTGAATCCCTAAGCCAGCCCCAAGTCAGAATTTATGCACCACCTCTTAACTCCAGAGTCCTGTCCTGACCCCAGGATGACTGCCTCCCACACTCAGCAGCCGCGTGGTCTCTGGCTGCACTGGTTTCCCCTTACTGGTGCTGTGTCACACTGCCTCTGTTTCTGGCTCAAGTTTTTCCGTTAGTGCGTCCCTAGAAACCTCTCATATTCTACTCGCCTTGCCCACAGAGAGGCTGATGCTCCCTTCTCTCCCGCTTTCTCCAGCTCTGCACCTAGCAATTCCCCCAGACACTGTGGAGTAGGAATAGGGAGAAGCCAGTTGTGGAATGCAGATCCCTGAACATCATGCAGAGGACCTGAGCTTAGCTGTTTGCATAGCACAGGGGCGCGCTGGCAGCCCTGTCTCCACATGCTGAGACGGAGCAATGTCTGGCATCCATCAAAGCAGAACCAGCACTTCCTGAGCACATCTGTATATCAGAGATCTCGAACAATGTTTTCCTTATGAAAGCTCTAAGTATGCTAGGTAGCCCCATTTAACAGATGGCGAACTGACAATCAGAGAGGTAAATCCCTTCGCCCAGGATTGTTCACTACTAGCAGAAGATCTTTAACTCAGTTAGTACTGCCTGATGCTTAACCACCACTTTCTAATGCCTTCCACTGGCAGGAAGTAGGACTAGAGTCCTGCACCTAGAATTGACAGAGTTATTTTTAAATGTCTTCATTCATATTTTTAAATTAACCTCCCTCTTTTTTTTCTTTTTTTAAACAGAGATGTAGCCTCGGGACAGCATGTGGTTCTAGCCTGTTCAGCCCTGAAGAAAATGTACAGAGATATATTAACACAAGGAAAAGATGGTGCAGCTCTGAAGTGCGAGGAGTCGGAAAAGGAAGCAGAGCGGGCTGAGATGCAGCTCCTGGTGGTCCATCTGAGTGGGTCGTTTGAGGTCATCTCTGGACGCTTACTCAAAAGAAAGGGACATTTTATGCCCCCTGAATTACTGCAGTCCCAGTTCGAGACTCTAGAGCCCCCAGCAGCTCCAGAAAACTTTATCCAAATAAGTGTGGACAAAAATGTTTCAGAGATAATTGCTAAAATTATGGAAACTCTAAAAATGAAGTGAGAATCATTTTGTATCAGTGGTCCACACAAAATTAAGCATAAATATTTGTGCCATCCCAAACCTCGTTCCAGCCACCTTGCCCATGCTAGATTCTAAATTTTTCTAAAGGCAAACAAACCCCAATGTATCAAGACAGACTCGTTTGGGTGTAATTTTAGGGATTATGCTGGTTCATCGGGAAGCAGAAGGGGAGTTTTAAAAGTCAAGCTTAAATTGAAGTTTAAATTCATCACATGATCAGAGGAAATTCTGTAATCGATGCTGGAAATTGTTACATTGTTTAGAACATTCTTGCTCATGCCCGTATGTGCACAAATAAATGAAACTTGGCTGTCCTTGACATTCCCTGGAAATTGGTGTTGGAAGTATAAACATGTACATCATCCACCCACCACCCAGCACGCCACACACCTCCTAATCCTCTCTCCTGGACCTGTGGTCAGAGTGGTGGCTTTTTTTGTTGTTTTTTTTTTTTGGAGATGGAGTCTCACTCTGTTGCCCAGGCTGGAGTGCAGTGGTGTGATCTCCGCTTACTTCTTAAGCTAAGGTCTCAAAAGGTAGTCATTGGAGAACAAGCAAACTTTGTTCAGTTCCATAAATGCCGTAATACAAACATACTCACCAGCAGCAATACCAAGTTTCTTGCCTTTTGCCTGAAATTCTGTCAACTTGAACTGTCTCTGCTGGTCACCAGCTCTGCGCTGAGCGGTTGTGTGTTATGTATCTGTGTGTAATTTAAATGTAGAAACTTACATAACTGCTACTTAAAAAGTAGAGTTTGGGCCAGGCGCGGTGGCTCACACCTGTAATCCCAGCACTTTGGGAGGCTGAAGCAGGTGGATCACTTGAGGTCAGTAGTTCAAGACCAGCCTGCCCAACACTGCAAAACCCTGTCTCTAGTAAAAATAAAAGTAAAAAATTAGCTGAGTATGGTGGCAGGCACCGGTTATCCCAGTTACTCAGGAGGCTGAGGTAGGAAAATTGCTTGAACTCAGGAGGCAAAGGTTGCAGTGAGCCAAGATTGTGCCACTGCACTCCAGCCTGGGTGACACAGTGAGATTCTATTTCAATTTTTAAAAAATTAGAGTTTGGTCAACACAATTTTTTTTTTCTTTTTTAGAGAGGAGGTCTTGCTCTGTCACCCAGGCTGGAGTACAGTGGCATGATCATAGCCCACTGCATGTTTGAACTCCTGGGCTCAAGTGATCCTCCCACCTCAGCCTCCCAAGTAGCTAGGACTACAGGCATGCGCCACCATGCCCAACTAATTTAAAAAAAAAAAAAAAAATTAAGAGGCCGGGCATGGTGGCTCACACCTGTAATCCCAGCACTTTGGGAGGCCGAGACGGGCGGATCACAAGGTCAGGAGATGGAGACCATCCTGGCTAACATGGTGAAACCCTGTCTCTACTAAAAATACAAAAAATTAGCCGGGCGTGGTGGCAGGTGCCTGTAGTCCCAGCTACTCAGGAGGCTGAGGCAGGAGAATGGGGTGAACCCAGGAGACGGAGCTTGCAGTGAGCCAAGACAGTGCCACTGCACTCCACCCTGGGTGACAGGAGACTCTGTCTCAAAAAAAAAAAAATTAAGATATAGTGTCTTGCTATGTTGCCCAGGCTGGTCTCAAACTCCTGGCCTCAAGTGATCCTCCTGCCTCAGCCTCCCATGTTGCTGGGATTTGAAACATAAGACACAGTGCCCAGCTCAACAAAATTTGATATAACAAAAAGCATCATTTTGGTGGAATAAAGATTGAAAACAATTATTTTAGCGGGAAAAAAAACATTGTTTTTCAAGTAGGGGAGCTGTCCTCATAGATCATGTGAGAAGGCCCTACTCCACCCTGTCTGTGAATTTGCAGAGTATCAGAACTGGAGACAGATCTCAGCAGTCAGACCGAAGTGTGTGGCAGCACTGCTGGGAATATACAAGGCATGTGATTTCAGATGTCAGTGATTTCAGGTGTGGCTTTAAATAATTCGACACATGTGATCAGAAGGGATCCCCCTTATATTTCTCTGTTGCTCTGCCTGTCTGTGACATGGGGAGTGTCTGTTTCATATGAGTGTCTTCATCCCTCTCCAGCACTTGTCAAGCTTCCTTTTCAACAGACAGCAGCCGGAGGCTCAGACCCCTGGCAGACACGGGGTCTCCCCACAATTTAATCACTTTATCTAGTTCTTGTTTCTGTTTTTACTTTCCTTCTATGTAAGGCAAGTGTCCATTTTCCATTGAAAGTAGTGACATTGCAGTTTTTGAGAAAGAAACATATTTATATAAATTGGGTCATTTCAAGATGAATAAAAAGCACACGATCCATCACAAAGTTGCCAATGTGGAACTTGAACGAATGAAGTGAGAGACTTGCTGACCCACCCAATGTAGCCCTCATTCTACAAAGAGGAACCAAAGGTCTCTAAAGACCTCCATGAGCCTAGGCTCGTGTCCACCTGCTTGCCGTCCTGTGTAAAATCATCAGCAATGGACACTAGGCAGGTGAAGAAAAAGCACTAGAGCCGCTATGGCCAAGACATGAAATGAAACTTTCCAAAGGGCAGTGATGCGTCACTAGCACCACGGCAGCAGGGCTGGGGGATGCGGAGCAGGAGGTGAGAAGTGCTGGTGCCCTCCTGGCATGCAGCTTACCCAGGCACCAGCTGTGCAGGCCAAAATCTGACCAACATGGGCCAGGTTTGAGCCTTTCCCCGTACTGTGCTCCAGAAAGATGCGTTATCCTTCGGTCCCAACCAGGGCCACAGGACCTTACCCTGGGGCTCCCACCCCTCAGTGCTCATCAGAGTCAGCTGTGGAGCTTTCAGAGGTGAGACCAGGGCCCCTTATGACAGATGCTGCTTCAGTGGGCTTGGAGGAAGCAGAAACAGGTCTGTGCTTTTCAGTTCCTCAGGTGACTCTAACAGGCACCCTGTGGCCACCTGTGGGCCCACTGGTTAGCTCTGGCCAGAGATTGGGTTTCAGAACCAATTTACCTGTTTCTATTCACCAGGGCATGTCATATTTGACTCAGGAACTACAGCTGGGTGCAGTGACTTGTGCCTGTAATCCCAGTGACCCCAGAGGCCAAGTGAGAGGATCACTTGAGCCCAGGAGTTTGAGGCCGGGTCAGGCAACATAGAGGACCCCATCTGTGAAAAAAATAAATTAGCCAGGCATGATGGCATGCACATGTAGTCCCAGCTACTCAGGGGGCACTGAGATGGGAGGACTGCTTAAGCCAAGAAGTTTGCTATGATTGCATCACTGTACTCCTGCCTAGGCAATGGAGAGACCCCATCAAGAAAGAAAAGAAAAGAAGAGGAGAGGGAAGGGGAGGAGAAGAGAGGGGAAGGGAGGGGAGGAGAGGGCAGGGGGAAGCAGGGAAGGGAGAGGGACGGTGGGAGGGAGGAAAGGAGGAAGGGAG